TGCACCTGTACATGTATCTTGCACATTTCCTGCAGTTTCTCTTTGTATACTCTGCATAGAAGCTAGTGGAAAACACCTTTCCCTTACACAGCTCTTGCTGCATCTCTATCACTAGCTGATGTGACCCTAATGAGAGTAGTGGCCACACAGATTTGTAGCAAAGTACGTTATATTTGGGCACAGAAACTAGGAATGCTCTTTACTCGTATCTGTTTGAGATAGCAAAGCCAAGAGGTAAGGGCTTTATTGGAGAGAAGAACCAAAAAGGAAGAATTTCATCAAGGGTGAAAGGGGAGTTATGACCATAAATGAGGTAATGAAGAGTGATGTCAGGAGCAATTCATAATGTAGCTCTCAAGTGATGTGGGTCAGGCAGTTCAGGCCTAATCCTTGAACGGTGAGAACATATTGGAAACCAGCTGCTATTATGAGGCTCCATCTCTGAGAGGGTCAGCCAGGTAGGACAGAAAGGGAACAGAATTCAAGTACACATACGCAATATAAAGATTTAACTTCTGCTTGTAGACCACTGACCTCTTTGAAATAACCAGGCAGCAACTCAGACTGTAGCCAATTAATCAATATTACTTGTCCACAAGTATTTTCATCTAGTTTACAGTACTCCACATTGCCACACTGGAGTTCTTTCTCTTCCCTTTTGCTCAGAATTATAATTCGGTAGAAGCAAATGAATATTATAACAAGATGTTTTCTCACTTTGCAAAGGCCTGGTTCTCAGTTATCAAGAAACCCATATTCACTATGATGAGAAATATTCCTCAGCTTGGCTTTGTTTTCTTTTACTTAGCATTAGGGTCACAAAGTATAAATACATAAAGATCAAAATGAAAGACAGATAGCAGGAAACAGGGAGAAGCATATTTTGCAATGAGGAAGGGGACTGTCTTAGTTACTTTTCTCTTATTGCTGAGACAAAATACCTAACACTCAAAATGAAGGGAGGAAGGATTTATTTCTTATAGTTTTTGGAGGTCTCAGTCCAGGGAGAGAAGCCAGCAAGGGAGAGAAGCCATGCTTTCTCCCCACCTTTGCACTGTATCCTGGCTCCTCCTGTGGGTGGGTGTAGCACTCACACCACCGATCCCAGTGCCAGACAACAAACCAAACACAAACGTCAGACTCAGCCCCTTCCATGATTACGTGAGGCTTAAGTGGGGACCATGGGAGCACACTATAACATTCCACCCCTGGGCCATCAAAGACTCATGTATATCTTTAGTACAAAAGACGTTTAGTTCATCCCCAAGATTGTCAAAGCGCTAACAGTTTAAGCATTGCTGAAAAGTCCAAGTCTCAACTCTTTTCTGAGAACTATAGCAAACTCTGAAGTGTAAGCCTCTATACAAATGAAACAAGGTTAAACTTTTCCAGGATGCAAAGGCTCACAATAAACATTACTGTTCTAAAAGTTACAAACAGGAAGACAAAGCATTGGAAACAAAGCAGTCCAAGATCCAGCAGGGCGAGCATTAAGTGCTAGAGTTTGATGCTCAGCATCTGAAGTAATCTGGTTGCAAGCTCCAAAAGGCTTTACCTCCATGGCACTTTCAAGGTTTCCAGTTCTTACAGTTTGTCTCCTAAGCTTTTTATCCTTGGTTTTTGCAGCTTTCCTTGGATGACCCAGGTTCCTGGCTTTTTTAAAATTCTGGATTTTCCACTGCAATTTTGCTTCACCCTTACGTCTTTACATATTGCCCCTCTCAGGGACATACTTTCTGGCCTCCCAGGTCCTCTGAAATCAGGGTGGAATCTGCCTTAATCTCAGAACTTGTGCATTTTCCTTGCACTTAAAACCAGTACCACATGGATGCTGCCAAGGTCCACTGCCAGCTGGAGCAGTAGCCAGGCTTCCCTTTCTCTAGGATTTAGGGGTTGAGTGTCTGGATCACTCAGCTCTTGAACTGACTGTGAGGAAAAACTTAACAATATGGCGACCATTATGGAATCTGGGATAGTTGCCACCATTTTGGAACCTCCTGTGGCCTCCTGCGCTGCAGCTTTCTCCTCAGAGTGGTCTTTTGTAGATTGGATACTGTAAAAGGTGGAGGCCCTGCTGCTTCCTGGGATGGCACCAAGCCATCTTTTCTTATTTCTTTGTTCTTTCTCAGCAATGGAAGTCTCAGCTCTATCTTTACAGTCTGCAGCTTCCTGGCCAAACTCACAAAGTTTTAAATTATCTGCTGGGCCCTTTGCTCTCGATTCACAACATAAATCTGGTTTAAACCCCCCCCCCCGCCAAAAAAAAAAAGCCATGCCACCACCCCAACATTTAACTACCTTGAATTCCTTTATCAGATTAATCAAGCCATTGCCCTTAATCTCAGTCTCAGGAAATCTCTAGACACAAGCAAAATGCAAACAAACTTTCTGACAAGCCATAACATACCAATGTAGTCCTTCTTCCCAGCAGAAACCTCCCCAAGCTGATTATTACAAGCAGGCTTTCTTATCAGCCTTCTGGTTTCCTGAGCTTTGACCAGAATCTCCCCTACAGAACAGCATAAGTTGTTCCAGCTCCATGAATTCAGGTGACATTTCCAAATCTTTCCAAATTCTTCCTCCAAGCCATTTCCAAAGGCTCTTGAACCACATGGTCAGGTACAGTCATAGCAATGATCCCTCTTTCTGGTACCAACTTCTGTCTAGTCATGAGTTGTGATGGGAAAACTTACAATCAGGGCACAGAATTTATAATATTAGTTTATGGTGGTCATGCAAAGTTAAACAAAAAGTGCAGGAAATCTGTTCACAGCACCAAAGACCCAGAATAGTCAGCCAAGGGTCTGAATCCCACAGCAATGCCTTTCATGAGTCCAACTGAAGACCTAGAGCCCATGACAATGCCTTCCATGAGTCCAATTAGAGGTCTAAAACCCACAACAAGGACTCACACCAGTCTGTTTTATGCATGTCTTAGGAAGGCCCAGAGGTCAGTGGTGGAAGCCAGAAAGTCCATGCCAGCTGGATGAAGGAGCTGTGCCGGTAGGTTGAGTGTTCTACACTGAAGCCAAGAAGGCACACTCAAAATAAGGACCAGGGCTCCCCTGAAAAGTGCCATAGCCATCCTCAGTGACAAGGAGTTCCTGAGCTCCTCTGACAACAAGCACAGTCAAGTACATGTCAGGAAGCCTGCATGACAAGCTTCTCCTGGAGATTAAATAGCACACATCTTCCCCTCCAAAGGCAGGAAGCAATGCTCAATGTAAGAAGCAGAGCTTCCCCAAAGTGAACTGCAGCTACTCTCGCTGACAAGGTCTTGAGCTCCCCAGATGATAATGGCTGAATTCAGATCAGGGAAGCCAGCATGACAGGCTCCTCCACGAGAACAAACAGCTGGAAACAGCAACACTTAGGAGAACCCATAACATCTAGCCCTGCTTCTCCACATCTCTATTTACACTGGCAACTTTCCTCAGGTGGCCCATCTACACTCAGCACCATGCTGATTTAATTCAACTGGTGTTAAATTGACCACCAGTTTTTAATTCATAACATGGACCAAGAGACAGATGGGGGGAGTAACAATGGGGTTGGGAGGGGACAGAAAAGAATTAAGCTGTATTATGTATGTATAAGAACTCCTTATAATGAATATCACCATTTTGTACTACAAACATAAATGAGCAAAAATAGAAATTAGAAAAATATTCCTCACAAAATTAGTAATACCAATTAAGCATGGATAAAAATGTTGTCCAAAGAGAATACCATGAACTTCTGAGTGACTTTAAATGTCTCTGCTTGGGTTTTTTCTCTGTTTGATTTTCCAGCTCTTGGAATATTAAGGAGAAATTCATACTTAAAATAATCTGAGTGTGTATAAAATGTTGTGATATATTCATAAATGGGATACAATTCATCATTTAAAAGGAATCAACCACAGATACAAAGTGAGTGAATATAAAAAAGGTCTCTGTTAAAAAAGGAACACATGGAAAACTATGCACTGTATGTACAAGTTTAAAAATTCACCAGTAATGACATAACTATGACTACTTGTCTGAGTCTGGAAGTGAAGAGAACTTGACTGAAATGGGCCATTGGGAACATTATAGAATTGTGCTTTGTTTTCTGAGTTGGAACTATAATTAACATGATTGTATGTATTCATCAAAATCATTGAACCATTCTCTTCAGAGGAGTATATTTCCTTGCATAAAACATATGTACAGCCTTAAAAGTTCATTAATAATTTTATGTGAAGCTTGTAGAAAAGAAGGAACCCTCCCTCTAGAGCAGCTGATATTATCATTCGTTTGGTATAATGGTAATACAGGGGAGGAAGTAGATTTAAAGTAGAAGCCAAAGATGAGTATTGATTCATACTGTGTGTTTGAGGTGCCTGGATATCCAAAGAGAATCATGGAGGAAGTAGTAAAACAGACCTGACTGTTGCTCAGAACCTAAGAAAGATACAAATGCTTGACAATGGGGTTGAAACTTGCCATGAAAGGTGTATAGAACACTGAAAGATTAGTCAAAAGTTTAAGATTTGAATGGTAGCCCACAAAAGAGTCACATTAGTAGAATATCACTTTTGATTTCAAAATTTCCACTTTTTGCAAATTGGGTACCTAATAATTTTGTACCAACAAAATATAATCAACAAAGTCAAACATTTTCTCCGCCTATATGAGGAAAGATAATCATTGCTATAGTTTGAATCTGGAACAGCCTCAGAAAACTCAAGCATATAAGACTGGATTCACAGGCTGCAGGTATAGCTCAGTGGCTTAAGCACCTGCCTAGCAAGCGCTAGACTGTGAATTCAATCTCTGGTACCAAAAAAAAAAAAAAAAAAAAAAAAAAAAAAAAAAAAAGAAAGAAAGACTGGATCCACAGCCACAGAGCAATTAAAAGGAGGTTCACACGTTAAAAGTTGGGGCCTAGTATGTGGTCTTAGGCTATTGCACTTGTGCCCTGGGAGGGCCCTGTGGAATCTCATCTTTCCCTGTCTCTTTGCTTCCTGGCTGCCATAGAGTGAAAAGGTTTGCTGTCCCACAAATTTCATGCTGTGATGTGCTGCCTCACCACAGGGCCGAAGCTGAGGGACCATGCAACAAATCGACACTCCAAACCGTGAGCCAAAATCAATCTTTCCCTTTCATAAATTGATTACAGAGTGCCAAAAATGTGACTAAAAGAGTTAAAAGTTGACCCCTTTGGTGCATATTCTTTGTCATCTTTATGTTGATGTATTTCACTTATAAGACAAGAAATTATTGAGTCTATACAATTGTCCAATCATTTGCAACAGAGGAGAAATAATATTTAGATGTCTTTGAGAGATCATACTGTACTTTGATTAAGAAGAACTTTGGGCCAGGTATGTAGATCAGTGGCACGGTGCTTTGCCTGACAAATGTGAAGTCATGAGTTTGATTCCAAGTGCAGAAAGAATGAAAGAAAGAAAGAAAGAAAGAGAAAGAATGAAAAGAGAAGGAAAACATATCAACCTGCAAATATAAGTAACTGTTTTAAAGTATATATATATACTTGCAAGGTTATATGAAGAGCATATAAAACAGAACAGTTATTTATTAATGGAGATGAAATAAAGTAGCAAGGAAAATACAACTGAAAGATGAGCAGTCATTTGTCAGAAGTGCACAGATTGTCATGGAATTTTATACAGAGGGAACGACTTGCGAAAAAGCATGGAATATGACGTCTTCAGGCACATTCTGGGAGATGCAGGAGATGTAGGACAATGGAACATACTGTGGAATACACCCCACTTGGAGTATGGAACAAAGATACTCCATCTGGAACACACTCTACTCAGATCTGGGTATGAACTGAAAATGAGACTCAAAAGACAGGAAAAGAACAGATTGTCAGAGTATACATGATCTATATTAGGCATAAAATACCCAGATTGGTAAGATATTTATTTCTTCTCATTGCGAGGGTCTCCCTGCAAGGGGTTTCCAGATGTTAGGAAATAGGCTAAACCAATAAATACAACAGACGTATTTGGAGAAACGTTAAATTTCAAACCTCTCATTTTTTGGGACACTTTTATACAATCTTAACTCATCTTCTTTTTGTATTTTATTGAACTTGAGTAGTTGACAGGAAATAAAGACAAGAGAAGTAACTGGGTTTTTTTTAAAAAACACTTGGTTGAATTATTGAAACATTTAAAGTGTCTAGATTACACAGAAACTGTTGAGTGATTGGGGAGAAAAACTACTCAAACAATCTCGTCAAAAAAATTTAGCAAGCCCACAGATGGAACCATTTGTTGAGAATTTCAATGATGTTTTACCTTACTAAAAGACAACCTTTATGATTTTTATTCCCTTAAAAATTAGCAATGGCTAACTAGTTTGCCATGACTGTTTTGCCATGACCTGCTTACTTCTAAATCTGAAAATAATCAAATATACCTACTGATATTTTATAAGTATAATTTAGAAAGCACTTTTTACCAAGTATTTCATATCATTTGAGCAAAGAAATATGGTTACATTATACAATTTTAGAGATAAAGAATAAAAAATGCTAAAATCAAGTTAAAAAGAATTTAAAGACCCAATGAGGAGCCAGTATTCACAAGACAGTGGACAATAGGTCTTTCAAAAATAGAAGGCAGGTCTCCTGACATGTATGCCGAGGCTCTGAAGTATGTTGCCTTTTATCGTAAACAAGTAAGAACTACAGCAGTGCCCCAAACAGATCTTTCTTAACTGACCAGATTGTGATGACATAGACCCCCATAGCCACAAGCCAAGAATCCAGAGAACAGAGAATAACAATCATTTTTCCAAAAAGTCTGGAGGAGTAAAAAGCATTCAGCAATTAAGATGCAATAAGGCCAAAGAGGAATTAGGTGAGTTAAAGAGGGCAGTTTTTATATCACCATGTACCTTTCACTTGCCAAAATATACTACTTTCTAATAAGTAGTCTTTTTATTCATTGAGATAATTAAGACATTTTTTATATTATAGGGAAAAAATTAAAATGATACAGAGTTTCAAAACAATATAGTAGGAGATTGACAATGGATAATATATTGTATACTGTTAACTTCAAAATAGTTTCTCAGATTATAAGAAATAGGCATAAAAAACTGATCAAACAATATGATCACAAACCATTCTTTTCAATGAATAGAAATTAGTAGTATAATTATCTATCTTATATGTGTGTGTATATAGAGACGTAGATAAAGATACATCCCCATCCCTGTTGTTCTTTCCTTTTGAGAAGTTTCTTCTCATTTCATAAAATGTGTTGTGCAACTTGGATCTTGTTTATTATTCTAGTTTCTTAGACTAGGAATACAATAAAGTGTTTGCACATTTGCATCTGATTTATTTCACTTATGAGTATTGTCTCAAGTTGCATCTGTTTACCTATAAAAGCCTCAAGGTTATCCTTCTGTATCGCTGACTAGTACTCCATTCTATAAAATATCACTTCTTTTTTATCCATTCCTCAGTTGATGGGCATTTGGGTTGTTTCCAAGACTTAGTTATTACAAGTTGTGCTGCTATAATCATGGATATATATATATATATATATATATATATATATATTATATATATATATTATAAATATATAATATATATAATATATATATATATATATATATATATATATTAAGATGGTTTTATTTCTTTAGGTAAAATACCCCAAAGGGATATTTTGAATGGGGTCTCTGATCTTACTTTTCAGAGGAATCTCTACAGTGGTTGCAACCAATGATGGAGAAGTGTTTCATTTTCCCCCAGGATCCCTCCAGCAATTTTTATTAATCGATTTCTTGAGGATATCCATTTTTTCTGGGGTGAAATGAAATCTCAGTTTTGTATTAGTGTGCATCTCTCAAATGACCAATGATGTTGAGCACCTTTTTTAATTGTTTGTTTGCCATTTGTATTTCTTCATCTGAGAAATGCATATTCATCTCAAATGCTGAGTTTTGGATTGGGTCTTTGGATTTGGGGCTTGATTTTTTTTTAATTCTTTATACGTTCTAGATAGAATTCCTTTCTCTGAGGAGCACTTGGCTAAAACTGTTGCACAATTCATGTGTTTTCTTTTTACTCTGTTAATGATTTTTTTGATGTGCAGAAATTTTAATAAAATGAGATCACAGTTGTTGATTCTTTGAAGTATGTCCTATGTGGTGTGAGGTTTGTTCATGAACACTCTGTCCATATCTACGTCTTCAAGATTTCTATTCACTTTCTCTGCCAGTAGATTTAGTGTTCCTATTATATGTGGATCTTTGATCTATTTTGACTTTAGTTTAGTTCATGATGATAGGCATGGTTCTAGTTTTAATCTTGAGCATGTGGAAAGCCAGTTTTTCCATTTATTAAAGGGGCTATCTTTCTTCCCAGTGAATAATTTTGGCCCCTTTGTCAAAGATAAGGTAGCTAAGTGTGTTTTTAATTGTGTCTGCATCTTCTAATCAGTTCCACTTGATCCTCATTTCCATTTTTCTTTTGTCAATACCAGACTGATTTCATCACAGTAGCTTTTTAGTATATCTTCAAGTCAGGGATTGTGATGCCTTCTACTTTACTTTTGTTGCACAGGACTGCCTTTGTTATTCTAGATCTCTTATTTCTTTTTTGAAAATTTTATTTTAAAGAGGGTAAAATTAAACATAACAAAACAGAATGTAAGAAAACAATACAAGAGACACAGTTTTCAAAGCAAGACAACAAGAGCTCTTCACCATCATACTGTCTTTTGCTTTCTTCCAAATAGTTGTCCATATCTTCACATACATTGAATTCATACAAAACATCTTAGTATAAAGCTGATCAGAACAGGATGATGAGGGCATTTTAGGTATTCAAGATCAATCAATAAGGAAATCAGCAATGACTGTAATATTGTCTCTCATTCTTTTCGAAATAGCTGCCCATCCCTGCACATATGTTGAAATTAAACAAAACAAAACAGACTAGAATCACTCTGAAAAAGAATAATAGTATTGCTGGATTTCATGTCATGGCACTACAAAATCAGCACTGGGTACCTTAGTGTCTCTTTTTCTTCAAAGTAGTTGTTCATTTCATCATGCATTATATAATCAGTTCTCATAAACTATTTAGAAGTTCTACACATGCGTGAGTCTCTTCATATATAACAATCCCTTCTCTATTACAGGGAAAAACAAAATAAAACAAAGCAAAATAATACAAATTCCTAGAAAAATATGAAATGAAAAAGACACATAAAAGCACAATACAAGATGATCTACAATGGTTCCTATGATGTCTCTTGTTAACATCAATATAATTGTCTATATCATCAGGCATAGTATAACTGAACATAGCAGTACATAACAATATTAATAAAAACAAAACATTGAGACATTATAAGACTTCAAAAGCAGATGATAGTTAAACCAGAGTGGATATCCTAGTGAATCTTCTTGTCTTCTGAGTATTTGCCTATACTCTCAGACTTGATACTATCAATAATAACAGTTTTGAATAAAATCAGTCAAGAAAAAACAGTTATCTAATGAACCAGATTCAAATTAGATCAGTCATAATAAGACAGCATAAGTTATACAGGGCTTCAGATTAAGTTAATAAGAAATTAAGGATGGTTACCATAGTATCCTACTGTTTTTCAAAAGCTGTCTGTGCCCTCAAATCTAGTACAAGTAGCAGATTGGAACAGAATATAATCAAATTAAACAGAGCAATGAGAATAATGTGGATGTTGAATCCTGATACACTATTAACAATGTCCTCTGAATTCCTTTTTTAGACAATTCCTCCCCTTTCACTTTCACAGGGTGCATTGTAAATGTTGGGTCCTACTAACTCCTTTAGTTTTTAGATTAGGGGGTAATCCACTACTTGAATAAGCAGTTTTGAACCTTTTTGCCCCTAGGCTTGATCATTAGTTGTATTCCTTTACCTACAAATGCCTCCAAGTTTTCCTTCATTATAGCTGAATACTTCTCCACTACAATAAAGTGCCGTGTCTGTCAAATCTATCTGAAGCTGATGGGGAGCTACCCCTATTTCTCTCTGGTAAGCATTGCCCTCTCACATTTGACTTTCAGTCCATAAACCCTCTTTCAGGTTAATTATATTTC